TTTTCTACAAACACGACTTTAAGTCACTCTGCCATCGCATATTCCAAATTTTCTCCATAGCGTTTTTTTAATGAAGTATTAAATCGCAATGCATCTAATACGAAAATCTGTCGGTTAACAAGTGACTTACTATGATAAGTTATTACAATTTTGAGTTACAAGAGCACCCAATTTTATGAATTACACAAAAGCGCAGAATTGTCACCTTTCGATAAAGTCTTTCAGTGTCTCTCACGTGCTGGGCGAGGTAAAGGTATTTCTGGGATACATGGGATACATTGTATCACATTTCTTCATTCAGAATTTTTAAATCGCGTTTGACATCTTCCAATGTTGTAAGAGCATCGTCTATGATGAGTTAACTGCTCCGTTTCGCACGCGGTCTGCCCCAACCCGCAGACCTCCAGGCGGCAGCCCTGCGAAGCGGCCATGGACCCACTTGCGATTGTCGTTCGGGTCCAAATGCTGCGAGCGGATAGCCAGTTGGGATTTGGGGGACATGATTAATATTTACAGTGTTTGGGATATCGGGATGCGTTTACGATTATACGGTTTTAATTAATTCCACCTGTGATTTGAGACACCTGTGAAATAAGATTTGGACACTAGGGCCGTGTTACTACAGAAGTTACATTCAAATACAGTAATATAAACTATTACTACTTTACATTAGTGACAGAAACTGAAAGAAAACTGTGGAGCCTCGAGCCACATGAGAGGTGTCTATGGTTTCTTCAGGTGCAAGGAACACGGAGAAAATCTAAAAATAATGAAGCTGTTACCAATTTCATTGAAAATGCTAATATTTTATTTTTAATCTATCTGTTCTCATACTGCTAATATATGCCATTCAGGTACAGCGTTTGGGAACAGAAGTTTTTTTTTTTATTCTTGATATGTAAAACTAAAGGTACTACTACAGCACGTACTTTTTCGCAGTATTTGTAACTGCTCCGCATGCACCTGAAGTGTTTCCAACCAGCATTTTTTTTTTTCGCGCGAGACTGGAGCTTGCATTAATTTCAAGTTCTTATTACGCGAAAACTACCTATATTTCTTAAAACATTATTCGTAACATTTTTAAAGATATCAAGTTTTACAACAGATTTAATTAAAGACAAAAATCTCTATCTTCAACTTTGAAGTTTTGAAATGTTAATTATTTGCAATTTTCGGAAAAACACAATTCGACAGAAATAAGACCGCCTTTTTTACCGTTCATTCACTTGAGAAAACTTTCAGAAAAACGTTGGAGTTTTGAGGAAAAAAGTGTTTAAAAATTGACAGTATTTCATCGCATTTTTTATGATCAAAAATTGACAGTATTAGGCGAAAACTACTCATATTTTCGAAAAATTGTACATGACCTTATTTCAAGATCTCTTTAATGCAAAACGATCTTTAAGCAAAACTCAATCTTCAATATTGTAATTGTAGAAAGATGCCTAAAATATTTTGAACTTAGCAATTTTCAAAAAATCAAAAACAATTAAACCACGGCACCACAATTTAACCATCCTTAAGCGCTATCACAACCCGAGGACAAATATTAATCAAAATTGTGGAACTATTTTTGAGAAAATTTTGAGACTGTAACTAAGGCTTCATGTTAAGTATCCTATAAAATCAAAATATGTTTAAAACTCAGAAGACCTCGAGTTTCTTTAAATCTATCGAGGAATATTAATTTTGGAGGATATCGTCAGAACGGTTTTGGCACTAGTGCTGACCACAGACGCACGCACGAACGGATGGACAGACGATTTGCCATCAATCGCGTTTGCGGTAGCTGGGGCCCAAAAACATATATTCTGAGTGCACTACGTGTTAGAGGAAGTAATTTACTTCATATAGGAACAAGAGTTATCTCCTTTTTCATTACTAGAGCCTGACAATAAGAGTTTTTCAGTCAATAATTCGCCGTATTACAGTACATGATTATAATACTTCCTCCTTCATAAGTGCAAGAAAGTAAAACAGTTGAACTGTGTATCCGTATATTCTATATGCTATATGTTATTGCAGTATTCGTGACGAATCTTTTGTTAATTTTTTTTCAGTGATATACGATTATATTATTTTTTTGTTTTTGAACACCATGCTTACTACTTTTTGGAAAAGCATTTTGGGTGGCTTTATTCAGCAGCTTTTTTGTAGCTGCTGGTCACCACGAAAGTCTAGTTACCACTCTTTAAGGGGCAGTGGTGGATCCGGGGGGGGGGGGGCGGGCATGGGAGCCATGCTCCCCCCCAAAGGCCTAGAGTTTTCGTTTGTTAACTTCTTTTGTTTGAAAAAAAATGATTTAAATAATTATTGAAGTTAAAATTATAAAATTATTTAAAAAATAATATTGTATAGTATTACATACACTACAAAAAGTATATACAATATAATAACAAATTAATATTCTTTAACTAAAATCTATGATGGCCCCCTCCAAAATCATCGGATGGATGCTCTCCTGGAGGGCAGACACTGTTGATGAATGGTGGGAGCAAGTTATTGAGTAATCAGTAGTGTAGAGTCGCAATTAATATCCAAAAAAAAGAGAGAAAGATTCTAAAACGTGTTTTGATGTTTATTTCTGCCAAATGATACACATGCTAGGTTTTAGTGCACAGCAATATCATCTGGAAATGCCGGCAATTTATTTAAACGCCATTCTTTTTTCTCCCTAAAAGCTAGGGAGACATTTTACGTTCTTTTATATTTACGCATTATGGACAATTACGAGAGAATTAAGTTATGTTCTTCCAAGAGGCAATGGTATTAAATTAAGCTGTTTGTAAAGATCAAAATGGAATACAATTGAGTAAAATGAATTCTTTCCTCGGACATAGCTTCTTAAAATGTTCCTCATTGAAATAATTTTCTCTGAGTAGGTTCTTTCGTGTGTTTGCGTGACGACGAGTCTTGTGAACGAAAGGTGCAGTGCGGGCAGGTGCGCGCAGTGCCAGAGTAGTTTGCAACCTTGAGCGCCGAAAAGATGTAGGCGAAGACACATCTTGAGTCACATAGCGTTGCGTAAGGAATACTGAGTATGATCGTATTTATAAAATAATTTATCTCTGTGATTGCATCCCTGCTTGCTAAATGCGAAACAAAGGAACATCCAAAAGCCAGATCGTAGCGAAGACAAGTGCATTTATTAATCAGCTAGTATTCATGAGAGTCCCGTGACTATAAAAATGCAATGTAGATAATCGTACACACGATTTGAGAAAGGATTTAAAAACATTTCACTGAGTTACCAGTGGCAGTCGCAGTGGCAGCCTCTCATTAAGAATGCTGGCTCTGATTATCAAGTAAAATTTAGAATAGTTAAAAATCTGCCCAGATATATTTTCGGTTAGAAGGCATTTGATATTCCGTTGATATATTTCGTGTAGCAACATTTCTAGCTGCACCAAAAATGCCCACATATCAGTGTAAAAATTAGTAATATTCAGCTCTTTTGTTGATCTTTCTCTGAATTTCAATATCGTCCTTATTTAATTGTCTAAATGCACAGAAATAAGATTATATTATTCGCTTTAATGAAATGAAATTACATGATTTAATTAAATCATAGATTACGATATATTATTTAATACACTGCAATATGATAGACACATTACCAAAAAATACATTTCACTTCATTGCAAGAAGGAAATAATTAAGTGTATACGGAATTAATATCATTTTTAAAATTACCCAAATAGTGAGCTTACAGATAAGAAAATAATTACAAAAATAAAAAAAATAAAAACAAATCGAATCAGTGGGAAATGGTTCATAAAGTAACACAAAAACCTAATATTAAAATTCTTTAGATAATATTCGAATTTATGGGGAGTATTCACTACTGCCTTGAAATCGTAAGTGGTGTAAAATGTCTGTATATTGCAGCTTCGATGACGTATCAACGAACAGATTACCACCTCCAACCTGTACACTGCAGGCAATCCGTCAAAACGGAGTCTCTAAATGAATCGTACGTGTCTCTGGAAAGACGTGGGAACACCGACGCAATGAAATGTGCAATGGACACTACCGAGACGTCAGCCCGGGGTGGACTTGCGAAACAATTTGGCTTGGCCCTCTCTACAAGTGCTCCCGTTGCTTCGATTCCCCGCTGCACGGCCCGGTGCAGGCAGGCCTACGCGACGTGACAACAGCGCAGCAGCTGAAAGGCAGTACCCGCCCCGCCCCGCCCGGCCAGGCCAGGCCAGGCCAGGCAGTCGTCCTCGCGCGCACTAGACAGAGGCGGCACCCCCGCCCCCCTCCCGCCCACGGCCAGGTGCGGTCACGGCGCCGCGGGGCGGGGCGCGGCGCGGCGCGGCGCGGCGCGGCGTGGGGCGGCGCGGTCAGTCCTTCCCCTTGCACAAAGGCCCCGCGCTCGCCAACCACTTGTTCACAATACTCCTTCCCTGCCTTCCTTCCTTTGCAGGCGCTGCATCAAATTTCTCAAATGAAAAACCCAATCCGTACGCGTCTCCCTTTCACTTGTGTACACGCCCCCGATGCCAACTCATTCACGAATATTGCACGAGATATCGAGGTAAAATGTCATTTATGATCAAGAAATAATACATACCAGTTCGAAGTTATTCCGGTGACTAATCCTTACACAGACATCATACTTTCATAACCCGAATAAATCTTACAATATAAAAATGGTATAAGTCAATGAAGTGAGGTGACATCAAGAACGCAAAGCCTACAACTTCCAATTCGCTTCTCCTCCCAAACCCGCGAACGGAAATTTGCGAAAGAAAATGATCGTCGTTTACGGGTAAACACTAATTCCGATCAATAGCTAACGTTACATGCAATTCGTAAAAGGAACCTATCATACACACACAAGCGAGCGCGCGCATACACACATACACTCACACAATTACGTGCGCGCGCACTCATACTAATTCACCCACACGCCTTTGACATTCAGAATTTCCATTCTAAGCAAATCATCGCCCGAAAGCAGGGCGTAGATGTCCAATAATAGTGCTCGCACTCACCTTCCACTCTTCTCGTCAAGTAGATCTCCAACTTCATATACGAAGTATGACAGTGGGCGTGTGTCCTGGCATGCAGAAGCACTGAAAATGCCGGATACGTCCCATCAACTTTCACTGTTTACTTTATTTCACACAAAACAGCACGAGTATTGATTAACCCACGAGTTCACTCTCCAGAAAGTGAGCACTTTATTTTTCTATTTATTTCCACACCATATTAATAATTTTATATCGATAATATCTTGCGATACAATGTACAGACACAATTTCACACACCGGTTACAGCTGTATTCCAAATTCACACGTGAAAATCGAAGCAGATGGTTCCCTGTCACCGCACAACAGAGCTACAGCAAAAGCACGAAACATTTGAAGGTTGAATTGCGGCGACAATGAAACTGGTTTTTCTGGTCAGACGTAATGGCGGCCAAATCCGAGGGAGGGGACCTTCAGACGTCACGTGACTCGGGCGAGCCCATTCGGAAGCACTGGCGGAGGGGAGCGTTCTTGCCGCGTAGCCCCTCGCCCCTCGCCCCCGCCGCGCCCAGCGCCCCGCGCGCGGGCGATATTGACTGACGGGGCGCTGGCCGCGGCGGGCAGGCAGGCAGGCAGGCAGACGGGCACGGGCACGGGCACGGGCACGGGCATAGGCGGGCCAGGGTGGGCCGAGGCAGAAGCTTGGGCGCGGCGCGGCACGGCGCCACTGCAGACTGTAACGTGTGGCTGGCGAAACGCGTTGCTCCTCGCAGCTCCGCGACTGTAATTTGGCAAGTTCTGCCCACAGCAGAAGTTTCAAACGATGAATGCATGTATCGATTAGGCTCTTGCCCTCTAATGACAGCAGTCTTCATATTCTTGACGTTTGCAATGTAAGTGAAAGTGGAATATAATATAAAATTATTTGAAGATCCAAAAACAAAATAGGCCAATCCAAATTTTTCAACGGGAAACTTCTTCAGTGCTCTTGTAAGTGAAGGAGACAAATTGCGAAACATTGAAAAAAGTCACGTTGATATGATTCATTATGATAATTTCAAAAACCGATAATAGTACAAGTAGTGAAATTTACTATTATTTTTTCTTTCTTTCAAGATTCATTATTCTCTTCACATGCACATGAGTTACTCCCATGTCCACTTGGCGGTCTTTTAGCAATAGCGTATCAGGGATAGGGCAGCCAGCGCATGGGTGGTGGCTGCCCTTTTTCTTGGAGTGGACTTTTTTGTCGTGTAAAAATTAAAGAACTTTTTTTCTCTTTTATGGTTATGTGCAGACATCTTTTATTTACGCAACTTACATAATTTTTTTGTAAAGAAAGTCATCGGACTAATTATATCTCTAATTTACACATTCTAATCGATTGAAATAATTCGATTTCAGAAAATTTCCATTTTTTTAACAAACGACATTATAATTTTGGAAATTAACCGCTTTGTTTATTTTGATACATTTAAATTATTCCAGAAAATAGCTAGAACAAGATGGTATAAATACATCGATTGATGAAGATGGAAAACATTGCCAGGATTAGAATATCGTAATGGAAAAATGTCGTCACCAAAACTGCAATCAAGTTTTTGACCAAATGCATAATTACAAAATGTTGCTTTCAACTTGAAGAGACGTTTTCTTCCTCAGACAAAACTGTTAGAATTTATTATACAGCTCGAAAAAAAATAATAGTCTTTGTAATCGGTGCTATTCGTACCAGTACCTATTGCTAGTCGTGAGAAATCCTTCAGCTACATCTGTGTCATCACGTATGTTGGTGGTTCCTTACGTGTAAAAAGTAGCTATGTTTCTTTCGAAATAGTGTCCAAAACTGCAATTTCACAACAGTACTTAATCCTTCTGATAATGAAAGGATGTGCTACATTTCAGCGCAAAACAGTGATCACTATATTGTCTTAGAAATAACATTTTACTTTATTTGTATTTGTTCATTTTTTTCAGTAGCTGAGTAGCAATATTTTTATATTGGTTAGTTTTAGCTGAGCATCGAAAATCTGTCGTCTGTTAATAGTGTTGTAGTAGACAACCCGCTCGACGTTTGTGTTTCACGATTTGCGAAGCAGCGCCATGCAATATCGATGAGATACCGAGTTGAGAAGGAGAATTAGGGGAAGGGAAGAAGGAAATGAATAAGACAGAAAAGGAAGAACAATAAGAAAGAGAAGAGATGAAGCAGAAGGGGGAGAGCAAGAAGTAGAAGACAAAAGACAAGAAAAGGAGTGGAGTTATTACCTTAGCGCAATAATGAGTACCTACCAGTACTACTTACTAAACGAATCATATTGTAGATATTGTTAAATCTCGCTTAAGAAAGGCCAACCCAGAGGAATCCAATAGCAAATTTATCAAATTGATTTAGTCTACTGCAGCGAGGTGGTTCAGGGCATCAACTGATGTCACTGGTCCAGGAGTTCGAATCCCAAGGGTGGCAGGATTTTCGACATTCCCTAGAGTGCAAGGTCAAATTCAGTCGCTGCCTGGAGGGGATTTCTAGCGGCCTTGCTACTCTGATCGGCAGTAGTCGTGGTTTCTCCGATCAACATGCGAATGTCGGAGTCTTTACTTCCTCTACCACACAAGCTGGGAGACCGGTCAGGAGCATAGAGCTTGTCCCGGCTGGGTCCGTGCGCTGCTGGTGGAAGATACCTGGTTGAGGGAAACTCCGTTCGCCGATGTAGGTCGGATCTCACCATCCAGCGGGAGAAGATCACCGCCACTTCTCTAGGAAAGCATATGCACTACAAGTTACGGGACTAATGACCTTATCAGTTGACACACCCGGGATACTATTCCATCAATCTTTCTTTTAATACATTTATATTCTCATTTCTCTAACATTTCGTCAAGAATTCGTAGCATGGCCATCACCCCTAATTCCGTTTACACTCCCAGCAGGCTCAAAGCCCATCCACTCAAGAAGCATCATTCGCATCAACAGAAATTCAGAATTACATTGTTTTGCTCAGCAAAATAGTAGGGAGTTTTAGCGCCAGGCGTAAGGAGATATCCTTAAACTCTATTGATCACGTGACCAACGCCTTTATACAGTCGTAATGAACAACGTTCAGAAGAGAGTTTTAGCAATTGTGACATTGCGTTTTGCATTATAACAAAGGAATTTCAAGCGTTGAACAGAGAAATTGCATATCAAAGAGTGTAGGCTAGTGGTGAGACATTTAAAACACGTTACGAGTCAACAGAATAACAAATATACATTGTGCATGGAAATTTAGATTTTGTGGCCCTCCGCGATGAGTATGCAGTCTGGAATTTTGAATCTGCTTTTCTTGCAAAAAAAATATAGGAAATACCTTAAAACAACGATCGTTATGAGCATAAGACATAACCTATCGCGAAGATATGATTTGAACTACTTTTTCGCGAATTTCTTTCCTGTCGCCTCTCCAACATATCCCGTTAATTCTTGCTAGCGTTGTTGAGTTGGTAAGGAATAATTGTAACTGCTTCAAATACGAGAATCGGTTTACCAGAGTTGGAAAAATCCAACTTGTCAAATTTTTTGGCGGCCATTTTGCCGCATGTAAGGTGACCGTAGAGACTCCCACATGCGTGCACTATTTATGAAGGTATAAAGTCGTACCTTAGGCCTAAGGTAAGACGTTATGACTTCAAGGTCCGTCACGTGACTGTTAGTGCATAACACCGCTACCTTACGCGTGGCGCTAAAACTCCCTAGTATCCAGGTATCAGAACGTGCAGTGTACATTATTATTTAAGGGAATACATACTGAGCTCACTCAAAAGTCCTTTCTTGCATGTTTTTTCTAATCTCTTTTTTGTGTTTCCTCTTTGCTGCTTCTGTTTTCTCTTCTTCTTTTCTTTATTCTCTTCTTTTCTTTCTTATCCAATTATTTCTTCTAACGTGCTTCACTTCTTTCTTCCTTGGGGATGATAAACCGCCACCTCTCGAGGAAGAACGTTTATTACATTTACGTGACTAATGTTCTTGGCAGTTGACGATTACGGAAACACCAGTCAAAACTAGTGGTGCTCAACTGCACATACTTTCTCGCAATATTGTTATCGTTATGTAATGTTACGTCTTAATTTCTATCTTGTACTTCAAACATTAATTTATTCCGTAAATAAAGTAAGTGTGAAAAGTATAGTTTTTATCCAAAATTTAAATGAAAATATATTTCTGGCATTGATTTAGTGTAAAAGGTATTCCGTGTATTTGCGAACATATTCAATGCGTATTTTAGATTTTAAATATTCTGCGTATGCGCTATGCGAGAAAATAAAATATTGAAAAGTTAGTCAACTTGCTGCAGAATGCTACAGACTTTCTAGTTATAAAGTTTTCTAATTTCCTTGGTGTGGAGCTAGCTTTACGGTCTTGCTGCATCTTCTTGTCAGCTGCCATCTATCGACGCCCAAAAGTGTTGAATTTTTCTCAAATTTTCGGTTTCCGAATGTCAAAACCGAAATAATATTATTAATATATTAAAGAAGAGTAAATCGTCGTTCTATATGAAAAATTTTGATGATTTTTTTAAAGCCACTTTCAGAAATAAATCGTTTAAGCTGTAGTGTAAATGCGAAACTTTCACAGGAATCTTTTGTGTTTTCAAAAACTTCATTTGAAATCATTTAAAGCAAATTCACTCACAAATACAAATTACAGGAAATGTACATATTATCGATATGAGAGGTATTTAAAAAATACACGGTGTAATTTTTGCAAAAACTAATGAATATAGCAAAATGATTTTATGACATCTTAAAGATCACTCTTTATTTTATGACATTTTAAATGATGCAATTAGCACTCTTTATTTTATGACATCTTAAAAAGTGTAATTAGCACCATCTGTACGAAACGTTTGAAGATACAATTTGGATCAGTTTTTGAGAAAATATTGTTTGAGCGTTTCTGCAATTGAGGAATTTTGAGCTCGTTTTAAAAGAAAATTGTTGAATATGCTTGAAAACTTTATAAAATAATTTGTAAGACTTTATAAAATTAATGCTAATATTAACGACGTGGGACGCTAGTTAAAAAATACATTTTTGTAATTTCTGAAGAAACAAACAAACAAAAGAATGTAGCAAAATTGCGTTTATGTGATATCATAGAGTAAATTTAGCACTATTTCTACCAAATTTTAAAATAATTGTGAGCCTTTTTTGAGAAAATTTTGTTTTTATTTTTCAAAGTTGCACACATTCTACATAACATTGCACAAAAACTACCAAAATTTTCACAAAATGTACCTGATCTTAATGAAGAAAATTATTATTGACAACAAAATTCATTTGAAAGAAACATCTCTGATTTCAATTTTGTAATAGTAGCAAGACATCGACAAAAATTTAAACCTTTTTTAACAAATTCATAGTTAACATTTAAAAGCGGATCCACACCGTCATTCTAAGTGAATTTTACTTTATGCTTTCATGAAATATGAAGAAAAATTTTGGAGCCATTTTAGAGAAAGCTGTACG